TATTTAATTAGCCAGAACAACTACTTTTCTTTTTTTATTTGCTTACTGGTATCTTTGGGGGTCCATAGGGATGTCCCACTACGCGTGAACTCATAACAAAACTTATCAACTAACTGGTCGTCCCCATACTCTATCCGGTATGAACGCCAAAAGTATAATCCCTTAATACTTCGTCCGTTATAAGGATGAATCGGACTGTCCCCATACTCTGTCCAGTATGAGTGCTAAAAATACCATTCTTCGATACCTCGTTCGGTATGAGGTAAAGTTCATGGTAAGGTTTCCTATGTACTCGGTCTGTCCACTATCTCTCAGGATATCCAGTAAGACAACTGTTTCATTAATTCACTTAACCAAGCAATTTTTCATTTACATTTAATTTTTAGTTTAATTTAACTGTAAATCACGCAAGACAAGCAATACATGTATTAAGAAAATACAATTGAATCATCTTACCAATTTCAGTGTATTATCATGCATTTAAAACTGTACAACTAAAAATCAGTTAAAACATTACAACAGTAATAAATAACCGATTTCGGCTCCATTAGTAACTTTGATTAATTATCGAGATTTTTTAAATTATACAAAATACCGTTCTATTTATAATTAGACTTCAATTCTATAATAGGGAATAAGGTCAGAGATTTTTACCCGAATTGGTGTTCAAAATACTGAACTTTCTACTGCGCCTAGTAGCGACATCCAAGTTTCCTAAATTTTTATGTGGAGGTAAAAACACGCTTCACATACCTAAAAATATCTCAAAAAATCCAAAATCAGTGTTAAAAATCTTTTTGGGCTAATTTTGAAATTCCGACACGGCGGCACCATCGTGCTTCAATGATGGCACCGCCGCCCGTGGTAGTGATTTGCCTCGGACTGACTATTTTTCGGTTAAATTTTGACCAGTTTCGATCGGTTTTATACTCATCCCTGCGAGAAAATACGTTAAGGAGTCTCAGTTGACTGAAAAAAATCGAAAAATAAAAACTTACTGGCGGCAGAATTTTTCAGTGCGATGGCTCCGTTGGCTCACCTTCATGGCTGAGCGTTTTTCTTCAGTCAACTTGTAAAAAATAGAATGGTGAACACAATAGTAGAAAAATTGCACAAAACGAAAATCGGAAAGGGGCTCATCGGAGGTAATTTTTGGTTTTTTCAAGGCTACAACGCCGAGCTTTACTCGCGAGTTCTATCTCATTCGCCATTTTTTTTGCTCCGATTTGGCCATCGGGGTGTTCAAAATCAAATTCTGAGTGAATAAGAGAATTTTTACTTTTTTTTGGCGGTCAGATGTGGCTCCGACGCAGCGGTGATCGACTCCAGTCTCCGACGGCTTGTTATTCTTCTCCGGGCGGGGTCTAGCGGCTAAGTTTTGGAT